CTCTGCAGGAGTTTCTTAGGGTAGTATCCTAAGACCAACTATGATAAGCTGCTTCATCAAGCACTCTCCTTCCACCATTTAAGGTGTGAAGTGAGGATGTTCACCAATACTTGAATGATAAGCACGATTTTACCACTCCCTTTAGATACTAAAGCAGTCCATGTTTGAATGCAACAAGACCTGGGCAATATCTAGGATTGGGCTGACCTGTAGCAAGTAATAGTCACGTCATACAAATGCCAGGCTATGACCATCACCAATTAGAGATAAGCTAAATACCACTGCATGACACTCTGGTGTTACCATGACTGAATCCTCTACTAGCGACATTGTGAGAGTTGGCATTGACCAGAAAATCAACTGGTCTTGTCACAGTGGCTAAAAGAGCAGGTTAGGCTAGGGATCATGAAGCAGGTAACTTGGCTTCTACCTGCCAAAGCCTGTCCATAACTTTACAAAGGTCAAGTCAGGAAGGTTATGGAATACTCCCCACTTGACTAGAAAGGTGCAGCTTCAACATCAGGTGAAGAAACCTGACAGCATCCAGGACAATGCAGCCACTTACTCCACCAATGCTGCCCAGCAACTATCTACAAGATACACTGCACAAATTCGCTAAAGATCTTTAGAGAGCACCTTCCAAACTCTCAGCCACTTCCATCTACAAGGACTAGGGCAGCAGATACATGAGAACACCCATAACTTGCAAGTTACCCTCCATGCTACTCTCCAGCCTGACTTGAAACTTGGGTAAATCAACAAGTCACATTTAATTTCACTACTTGAAAAATCTGAGACAAAGTACTGGAATGTTAACACACACTTTGGTTGCCACATGCAATAAATACTAGACCCTTTAAGTAAGCAAGTATAAGCCTGCGACCCAACTTGGCTATTCACCAATTTGGTGAAAGCTGGCCAGGACTTGAACCAGCGATGATCTGTCTATGGATGTTTCCAGGTTTGGTCCTTCTCCAGTGTTTGTCCTTTGAAGTTTGGTACTGCAGTGGTTCTGGTGTTCGATTCTTAGGTTTTTCATTGTTCAGTCTCTGAGGTGATTTTTACATTCATTTGCTTTAGAATCCTTTCATTGGAGATACTGCAGGTCTGCATTGCTGTCTCCTTGTAGTAAAAAAAACAATTTTGTTTGTTTGATTTGGCCTGAAGTGTGTGCTTGAAGACACAACATTACTGTGGTTATCTCCTTTAAATTTTTCTGCAGAGCAATCAGTTGTCCTTGTGACAGTAAATCATCCAGTTGATCAGGCAGGTGTTAAAGCAGTGTTTTTTTTTTCGTAATTTCTCGGCAGGACATGGCTAATTGCTAGAGACTGTGTAACGGCCAGTTTTAAATTCTTAGCAGCAAGTCTGACTGCCATAAATAGTTATGTAATTTACATTTTGTTGATTGTTCATGGACTGAAAATCAGTTACTAAAATCTTGAAGGACGAGCAATAAATGCTGGCCAGGCAGTGATACAATGAAAGGGGAATGTACTGTGCTATACTGTTCTATGTTCTATGCCATCTTACCTGTCTGCCCTATATCTGAATCTACTCCCACAGCAAGGTGATGTAAGCAAATAGCCCATGGATGTGTGTAAACACTGACTTCAATTTCAGGGTGGTTGACAATGGCAACATTGCATACCTTGCAAATGACACAATATTAGATCAGAGAATTAAGACAAGCATGAGCTACAAAGATGGCCTGGCACCATAGTTGGACAGCTGACCAGTTCTGATTTTGCAAATTGTTTGTTTGTTTTTACTTGTGTGTGGATCACCACACACTCATTTCCTTGTGTCATTGAAACAAAGAAGCTCCTGTTCAATGTTATGCTCATTCGCCCCTTTCTTATGTGCTGGTTCTGTTCTATTCACTTTGGTGCACCGCACTGTACCATTTAATGTAATATCGTTCTCTTTTATCCTGAAGGTATTGATTCCTGCTGCAACACAAGATTGTGGCCTGTGCCAATGACTTGCAAGCATGAGCACTGTGTTCATCCTTGAGTGGTTCCTGCTGAGCCAGATGGTCTTACCCAGACATGCATGGGATCAAATGGGGCTAGCAGCCTGGGGCATAGGTCTATTTTGTGCACTCCCCATGCCCAGTCCTGCGCAGGACGTCACCAAACAAACTCGAAACTCTTTCTTTTGGGCTTTGGGAAATAGCATACATGATGCAGGATACAAGAGCATTATAATCTCTACAAGTCTTTTCAGGCTAGAGTATCCTAAATCCCTGCAGTGCAGAAAGAGGTCATTCACCCCTTCGAGTCTGTACCGACCCTCAAAAGAGCATCCCAACCAAACCTATCCTTATAACCCTGCCTTTTGCTGTGGCTGATGCACCTAACCTACGTATCTTTGATCTGTGTGAGGAAACTGGAGCACCTGCAGACATTGGGAGACAATACAAACTCCAAAAAGACAGTCGCCAGGGGCTGGAATCAAACCCGGAACCTGGCACTGAGGCAGCACTGCGAACCAATGGGCCACTGTGCCATGTAAGGAATCTACAAGTGTAGACACATTTGTGTATAAAAGTGGCATGTACAAAGCTAGTTGAAACCTTATATTTTAACAAAAACAAGCACTAGGATGTGTTTATGTAAAAATTCTATCCTTAAAACATAGGATCTAGTGTCTGAATCAAACTAAAATCAATAGGTCCCAAGTTTTAGTCCGGAGGGGAAGGCAACGCGTACAAAAATGAGCTAGTTGTCTTAAGTTAGATGGAGGGAAATATGTTTGCACGTGACAATGTAAAAAAAAGTTATGCTCTTATTTGGCTAAATTTGTTGATCCATGTTTGAAGTCTAAAGGGTGGTGCAAATTTGGAACTTGCTAATGGAACGAATGAATAGTTTGCATTTAAGATGTATAGAAAAGAGGAAAATGAAAAGCAGACAGGAATGGTAGCGATTTGTAATTGGTTGTAAGAAGCTCTTGATGTAACAGGTGCTGTCAGGGACTAGTTGGGGTGAGTGTCCTGCTGTATTACCACATGTGCCATGAGTTTTGCTGAAGATTTGTCTGTAGCTGCCTTACTTGAAGCTTCATGTGGCTGTTCTGAAAGCGTTGTGGAGAAATTGCGAGCACCCCATCACAGCATTGACATCATGTAACTAGGAACAGGCAATGAGCTAATCTGCTCACATTACAACATGGCAACAAGGGATTAGGCCATGATCTAATTTGCTTTCATGATGTGTTCACACTCTGGGAGATGACGCTCCTATGAGAATTCACTATCGTAAAGTAATTGACAAAAGGTTTAATGATGGCACTGATCTCACCAAGTATTCATTTGCTTAGATACTAGGGCTCAGCTGGGACTTGAAATTGTGATTGGATGTTAATGATGACAGACGATTATCCTGCCTCTGTGCGTGTTAACTGTCTTGTCCATCTTAATCACTGCTGAAACATGGGGTTTTAGTGACCTCAGTACCACCTGCAGCAGTTTTGAGCTATCCACAGGACAACTGGTTAAATTTGCCTGTTTGTGCTTAGCCCGTTTTGGAGAACTGAAGCAGTGCTAAGTGTCCATATTAGAAATTGGACGAGAGCACAGTCTTGCTGGAAGGACTCATGAGCCCAGTGATTGAATCACTTAGTGTTAGTCATGCCCACAGTTCGCATTAGAGAACTGGCCACTTGGTGAGGCTGCTGAAATCTTAAACGAACCAAGATTTGGGTGAGGAATAAGTCATGTCCTTCTCATGAAATCTGGCAGCTTTTCTGGAGAGCAGCACAGCTGTTGAGTATTTTGAAATTTTGTTCCGCAATTAACTTTGCGGGCCAACTTCAGATTGAGTGTGTTTTCTGATCCCCATTTGTAATTGTCATGTTACATGTAATGTATTTTAGCAATGAGCGTTTCTGATTTTTGACTGGAAGATAACATTTTAGGGTGCATTTATAGCTTTGACTAACTTACATTGCTAATGTTACTAGATTTTCCTTTGTGACTACTTAACCTGAAGCATGTCAGCTGGTTTTGGTGAGTTGGTGAACTTATGCTGTTTGTCCACAAGTTCATGTTCATGGAGGAATTGAGTTTGTTAGCAGCTGGCTGTATGCTTATTCAAAAATGTTTTTAATAGGAAGAAGAATTGATTTCTAAGCATGTTACCAGCATTGAGAGATCTCTGTGCAAGAGTGTAGAAAAGGGTAATATGAAGTTAGGTTTTTAAAAATAAGATTTTAAGATTTTGATAAAGAAAGACTTCTTCTCATTGAGCAGAGGTGAATAACCTCAAAGTAGTAAGATATGCCCCATAATCTTTGGCCAACAAGTAAATTCTGATCTCTAAAGCTAGAGTGCAAGATGCCCCTGCCTCTGACCCAGAAGTTGGCATTAAGTGAAACTTGAGGACTTCCTGGCTGTGGAAGAACCCTGCCAGGGATTTGGACAAGGCAGCTTATGCCTGTCCCAGCCTGGATGAACAGGAAGTGAAAGGAAGGGCTTCCGGTTGTCTTAAAATGCTGTCTAAATCCAGTATTGCATTAAAGCCTGATGTGGGGGCAGGGGGGGTAAAGCCGAGACACAGTCCTTTCATTTGAAAGGATGATGGGAATAGGGTCAAGTAAAATTGATAAGGCAATTGCGATATGCAGCAGTTGTAAGCAAGATGGTCGCTCTCTTGCTCTCCTGTGCTGCACCTAATTGGATAGCTCTGTAAATTAATGGCATGCACAAGATGGGCTACATGCCTGCCTCTGCTCAAGCACTCGGTAATTGGAGTTTCTTCTGGCATGGTTTGAAGTGTTGTGTTTTGGGGTAGAGGGGACAGGAAAGAGTCAACATGTTTGACACTTTGCAAAGTGATGTTGTCTTCAAGGTTTTCCTCCTTCACTACATCCTGTTGTGCTATTGCAGATTGGTCTGGAGTCTCTTTGCTCTTGGCAGGCATTGTGCTGCTTAGATTGCATTCGGCGTCTGGTTGTTGCCTGGAAACTCATTGCTGTTCAAAAACTTTTTTTTGCAGTGTGACCAGAAAGCCAACACTTTGGAGGTGGGGCAAGCTGTGAACAAGACCAAGGCGCCACAACACGGTGTGAAAGGATGGAAGATATGGCCAGTCATGGCTGCTATTTGCTTATCCTCGGCATGTTGATTGGGATGTTGCTTCAGCCGACTCAGTCCAGTGGTTGGAATACAGTACCACGCAAAACAGTGCGCCATAGTGGTAAGTATTCAAATTATTTGTCCAACATCTGTCTCATTTCAGCCTTGGGTGAGGTGGGTGGTTGTGGTAGTTTTGAGGTGGTGTTCTCTATCTTCAGTTTGACTCCAGTGGCCTTTGTGCAAGTGACCAAGAAACTCTCTGCCAGGAAAACCAAATAACCTGAAGTCTTGAGTGCAATGCATGACCACTGTTACAAAGCACAATCGAGATGATTGAAATTGGGTAGCATGAAAACGCTTTTGCCTGAAGCCTGCTTTTACATGTATGTTGATCTTTAAAACAAGGTAGTGCTTGCAAAGCAATCGGTTCCATAAGGGCTATGTTTTTGGAAGTCATTGATTGGAGGAAGGCAGACTTGGCATGAGTTTTCATTTGGCACAGTCGCTTGTACATGCAAATTGAAGACAGGACACACATCTTTAAACCCTCACAGATGGATTCTGCAGAAGCTGAGTCGTCAGAGTCTTTCTGACTGAATTTGGTGGTTTGATTTGACTTTCCTGTGAGTTGAGGGCAAAAAAATAACCTTGTGCGCAAGTCACAAAGGGAGTGTTGGAAATCTTGGAGGAATAAAGGGGCAATTTGAGAATCTTTTTGATGGTTATCCAAATAAAATATGGGAGGTTGCTGCTGGAGCAAATTCCAAGAGAGGGCAGGTTGGTGTACTTGATAAACGTCATCCAGAGAAGGCTGTTAGCTTGATGGTCCAGAAGCATTTATTGTCATGTCTAGCTGCTGCAGGACTGATGTTGCTCTGGCTCTCTGGGGTGTGGGGATGAGTTGTTGTCAGACAATGTGAGAAGACTCCATTGCAAGGCGTAATTGTAACGCAATCACCATGGCCCCAGTGGACAAGACTTTATAAGCACAAACCTTGAAAATGTTACATTTATGCCTTGGCCTCCACAGCCTTCTGTGGTACAGGCTTGGGGTCTGGCATCTCACCTTGTCTCTAAAGTGGCACAAGTGGAAATTCTGTACTACCTAATGAATTAACTGCGGTTGGAAGAAAGTACACGCTAATATAGTGAGATGAATGGCTGACTAAGAATGTGGGCTGGGTCAGGGTTAAGTGGAGACGGTCAGATCCAGAGCAGTGAAACCATGAACCGTGTCCATTCAGCTTAGTGACATCACCCATTGCTGAGCTGACAGCAAGTTTGCCATTGAGCTATGGGATCAGCTGTTGGCATATTGGATGGTGAAGCAGGCTTTAAGGGCTGAATACCACATTGCTAGGTTTGATGGTCGATTACAGTTTATACTGTTAGGTGAAATGTAACAGTAGAAACAAGTTGGTTCGCACTGAAAGGAAATAGCCAGAGCCCCTCTTTTTTTAAAGACCACACCCTGGCCACCAGCAACCAGCCCATCATCTGTGACCATAATGTCTTGTAGTTGAGTGCAGATGCCTATTTATGTCATGTTTGGAGATTTACAAATTATACAGACTCTCTGCCAATGTTGGCTGTAACATGTACAATTATGAGCAAAGAATATAATTTCCTGCAAACTGAAATAGTATCTTGATTTACCCTGTGGTTGTCTGAGCAGGACGTACATTTGGCCTTGTAATTCAGTTTGTTCAACTCTAGTTGGGATATGTCTATTTTTGTTTTGTTGGTTTGGTGAGTGACCTTTAGGTTAGGCTTTGTGATGCTTGAGTAGTCTACCTAACAGGATAAGTTGGTTTTTGAAGATCACAGAACATTTTCTATGATCTCAAAGCTTTATTAGCCTGCTTTGAGCTTTGCTCTGTTGCAGAACTCTAAAACTGTTTGCTGGGAAACATTGCCTTTTTCCCCTGGGTTTTCTTAACTTTCAGGTTAGGGTACAGCAGAGAAGGCCGTTCTTCTGATTGGGCCATTTTGAGAGAGCACAAGCACAACTTTGCTGCAGTGTCTGAAACCCTGCTGTCACTACCAGATCAGCTGTGTCAATTTCTTCTTGATGTTAAGCATCAGTCGTCAAGAATGAGTACGAGTCATGATCTCTCCAGCATTGGATGGGGGCTTGAGGGGCTGAAGAGTGTGCTGTTGCTGTGATTCGAGTGTTTTAAAAATGTAGGAGAGGACAGGATTATCCATTTAAGCATTCTTCTACTCAGTAACATTGTGAAATGTATTGCTATTATAAAGCCAAACAGCAATGCTTGAATGAATTGATGAGTACCGCTACTCCATGTTCAAATGAACCAAGATTTGTGAAGGAGGTGGGGGGGTGATGTGTGGAGTGATGGATATATAGGCTTATAAAAATGTTTTCTCTTATAGTTTCTGTAGTAGCCAAGGCACTAAATGAGATTTGAGTTTTCCCTGTAGTGGAAGTTACTTTCAAGATTTGTGCCGAATGTCTGATCATAGCATCCCTACAGTGTGGAAACAGGCCCTTTGGCCCAACAAGTCCACACCAACCCACAGAGCATCCCACCCAGACTCATCCCCCATAACCTACATGTCCCTGAATACTATGGGCAATTTAGCATGGCCAATCCACCTAGCCTGCACATCTTTGGACTGTGGGAGGAAACCGGAACACCCGGAGGAAACCCACGCAGACACGGGGAGAACGTGCAAACTGCACACACAGTCGCCCGAGGGTAGAATCGAACCTGGGTTCGTGGTGCTGTGAGGCAGCAGTGCTAAACACTGGGCCACCGTATCATATCTGCTTCAGGAAAAGCTGTGGTCCATTGGAAATTGACAGGATGTACATTGAAGGAATCTTGAGGGCAAGCCTCTGCTTAGTAATTCTTGGTCGCTGCTTTGAATTAGATGCTAAGCTTAAGGAGGGGAGAGTCAGATGGCTGCTGTCCTTAAATTGGTGTTGAGCAAATAGTCTGGACTATTCCCAGCCCCTGGTGAACCATTAAGTAAAACCTGACTGACAGCATCCAAAATCCCTGAATGTACATGCATGATACATGGCCCCAAACATTGCTGTTGGTAAGCCTTCGGTCACCTGATGTGTTTTCAATGGAGCATAGCAATGTTGCCATCAACTTGTTATTCTCCTCTGTCACCTTCATCCTCGAGTTTGATGCTACTATCAACGCCACCTGATTGTTTAGATCTCGGTCTAAGATTTAGCATCAAGATATTGTACTGTAAGTTCTCAGCTCAGCAGTTCCACCCAATGCAGGTGGTTGGCAAATTTATCCTTGTTCTTCCTGCAAAAGCATGGCCTGGCCCTGGGTCATACATCTCCCCTCAATTACCTCCCATCTGTTTCCTGTTAAAGCAGACTGACATTCCCAGAAGTGGGAAGTCCGTTAACAATTGGAACCAAATAAAATCGCACCCTATGTCTCTCAGATGACTGTGTGTGGTTTTTTTTAACCTCGACTGAAAATCTTAGAGGCATATGTCCACAGCTTGGTGTTGTTTGTGTCTGTCTCCCCTAGGAAGCTAAAATACACTGGAACTGAATTGAAATGATGAGGTGAGCTGGTTACTTGTGCGTAGTAGCAACACTGATGCAGTGCTGAAACTTGATTGTTTTGGCATTTGTCCTTGTCTTTGTGCCACATGTTTGATAGAGCTATGACTTCATCTTACTCCCTTGTTGTTCTCACGTTCGCCTACAAATATTTTCTTTTACTTGTTTTTAAATCCCATTCCCTTCTGGCATGCTCTGTAGAATGTGCTTGTATTGCCTCTTTTTAATGCCATCCTACGTCAGAACCATACGCGAGCAAAATTTACATGTTTTTTTCCATGTCGTCTGTGATACTTTTGCAGAGAACCTAGGAATTGGTTATTAAATCTGTTGAGCATGTTTACTGCTGGTCTTTAAAGGGTTGATCATGGGAATCGCCTCTTGACCTGAAAAATGCAGTACCATTACGGTGGCAGCAGCAACAATTTGTTGCTTAAATGCTTGCTGTCAATGGTACTTGGGTGTTTCCCATTTGTATTTGGGCATATTTTAACCTTGATAGTCAAAGCCAAGATTGTTGCAATGGAATGAGAAAGAAAGCAAAATCTGGCATGGAAAATTTGTGGAAGTTGTGTTTGCTGGGTAGATGAACACATCTGACATGGGAGGAGATGGTATGGACCATAATGCCAAGGGGCAGAGGAGGTCACAGGGTTGAGCCTTCAAAAGTATGGAAGGCAGTTCCACAATGTGTCTGGAAAGACTGTGACCAAAAATGCCAGGGGCTTTCAGTGAACCTGTTCCAAACGAATGGAGGAGAGTTGTCTCTGAACAAAAAGCAGGCACCTAGTTGGCCTGTATATTTGAAGGCATTTGGGACATTGTTATTCGGTCATTGTGTTGAGAGTACAGGCAGTATGCAGTGTAAAGCCAGGTGAACAAATGGCAGATGGAAATCATCAAAAAAACTCTTGAGATGAAATCTGTAGGAGGTAGTAACTGATATGAGGAAGGAACAGTGTGTGGGAGAGAGCTTTGAGAATGGTAATCATCAGCAGATGTGCCATCAACTTGAATACAGATGGAGCTGTTTGGGGCGAAATATAATGAAGAAAAATGTTGAGTGGCGTTGTTCAGAAGTGATTGAAGGCAGATGAACAGTTTCAGCTCTCTGAAACTGACAAGTAACGAATCAAGCGGTTCCAGAGGCATATTGCAACAGTAATGTATTAGTGTAGAATGACCAGTCTAAAACAAACAAGTCTGCTTCTGTGATTGTGTTCGTCACTGAGGCTAATGGTTAAATTTGCTCTGAGCACACGAGCATATCTTGCTCTTTTCACAACAACCAACTGTTAATTTTAACCCAACTTCTGAAGCATTATATGGTAGGATTTGCGTAGTTACTGATTCTAATGAAGATCAACAGAATGTAGTTGAAAGGAGTGCTTATGGTATGTATGCTTGAGGGTAAAATGAACACTCGTGACCTAACAAAGAGTGGCTTTGGTGGACTGAGTACAAAGAAGAGTAGGATGTGATGCCAAGTTCAAATCTCACTCTTGAGGATGACGAGGGATAGCAAAACTTTTCAAGGCATTTTGTTTGCACAGAATTGTAAG